ATATATATATATATATATATATATATATATATATAACATAGATAATAAGAAACAAAATATTAATGGTGCCAATTGACCACTAAAAATAACATAACTCTGCCTCTGCACATTCAATCTTTAGAACTATATATGCTTATACATGCATGCACATGTTTTCACTCTGGTCTAGATCATCTCCGCCGCCACACTTGCTGCTGCTTGCCCTTACAGTGGCAGGAACTATGGCAATTGTTAGCTTTGCTTCTGCATTCTTCTCCTACATATATAATCAACTTCATGTCATCAATGCATTAAGTTTTTCTTCAATGTATATGAAATAGGGAGTTTTTTAAATGACATTTGTTCTTTATCCAGACAACACCGTCACCTACATTTAAAAAACTTCAATTTCTAGATTTTAGTTTTGGTATATTTTCATTTCTAGTTACACATTAATTGCACACTTTGTGCACAAGAATAATTTTGGCATATATCTCTTATTATGAGTAATTTGAAGCTTATTTGTTAGTAAAATTAAGCTCATTTACTTGAAAATTAAATGAAAACTAGCTTAGCTTGTTCATGATTTTTTTTTAAGGAAAAAAAAAAAAAAAAAAAACCTTGCTTATTGTAATAATATAGCACATAATTTGCACATGATCTACAAAATTATTCTTAAATAAATCGACTATGTCAATCGTGATATAATTTGCAGGATAAGAGTTTAATGAAGCTGCAGCAACTGGACAGAAAAGTTTTTGTGCACACCTTAATGAAATAGTGAAGAATGAATAGACCAGTTTGATGACGAGCCTGTAGGGCGGAAATGAGAAGGGTATTAGTAGTCATCAAGACCCACCTAGTTTGGGCAAGGGAAAGGGAAAGGGGATTCTCATAGAAGAGAATGATGTGGAGAGGAGTGTATTTGGTATTTATGATGAAATGTTTAGTTCACAATCCTATTACTTAATTGTGCTAATTTCCAAAACCCTACCATAATGCAAGGTGGTTGGTCCATGGAACAACAATTCGCTGGACATGGGCATGAATGGAACAACTTTTGGAACTTCAAACCCCAATCATATTATTGCTAATCTCCACAACGATAACCAAGCTCCAAGCTCCACATGGTGTCTTGCCTGAAAACACCATAGATCATCATCATTGTAAAATCTCTGCCATGCAAAGTTTTGAAACTAAAATAATGGGCGTGCGAACATCGTGCAGAATGGAGAAAATGATCCCTTGAATTTCATTGTTGACACTTCTGAGAATCCAGTCAACATGAACATAGACGATTGTTTTTTTGTTTTTGTTTTTTTTATTATTACTGCGTATTATTTTCAATTATATATTCTGGCAAGTACTTGGTGTTCATCATTGCTCGTCCTAGTAGCCATTGAATCAAGATGAAGATGATGATAGATGGGAATGGATAAGTTTTGGGAATGGATAAGTTATTAGTTTTGGGAATGGATAAGATGATATATGCTATTTATATATAGTTTTGGGAATGGATAAGTTATTAGTTATTACAGCTTTATTCTCCAATAAAGCGTGCTAATTATCAGTCTTAACCATCAATTTTTATTGAAAAAAGAATTAAATTAAAAAAACAAGTGTTTTTAATTTCTTAATTATAAAGTTACTTTAGACACGATTCTTAACTTATTACGTTTATGTCTTCACTTTTCGTCTTCAAGTTTAGCACGGAGTAGTGATGCTTTTGGTGATCAGATGTCACAAAAAAAAAATTGTCCATGAACCTTTTATCTTTTACAAAGTATTCATATCACATATTTTTCTCACTAGCTCGGTTGTAGATTACACATTTAGAGACTAAAAACATGATCTTACTGTTAAAGTCAATATCAAAAGTGAACACCAATAATTTAAAAATAAAAAATAAAAATTAACCATTTGACATAAAGTAATGATGATTCTGGTCATCAAATATCACAGAGAAGTTGTTTAAGAACATTCTCATCTTCAACTAAAATTGATGCCATGCATTTCCTTAGTAATTTTGTTACAGATTACTCATTTAAATACTAAAAACATGATTTTTAGTGTTAATTTCACTATTAAAAGTAAATGTCAGTAACTAAAAATGAATAGTTATACACAAAATAGTGAAGTGATCCAAGCACCTTCCCATCTTCTACTAATATTGATGTTTTAACAATATGCTTTTTATACATTGAATTTATTTATTGAAAAATAAAAGAGAAAGAGAATAATATGTTTTTTTTTATAAGGGAAATACCTTATATACACATTACTTGCTTTAATGAGGTTCAAACATTTCACTTCCCACTTAGGGGAGCAACTAGATACCACTAGACAAATATGTTTATGTAGTGATTAATCAATTGATGTCATTTTAATTAATCTAATATTATGGGGAAAAAAAAACTAATCTAATATTATTATTACAATGAAAATGAGCCCATTAAGCAATATTGACCATGACCCATGAAATACAACCGTTGACCATGGTCCAAAAACGACGCCGTTTCTTTAAGTAAAAAAAAAAAAAAATGACAGTCGTTACTTTTTAACAAATTTTATATTTTTTTATGTGTTCATAATAAAATGAAACTATGGTGTATTTAAAATGAAATTGTCTCACATATTGTGTTTATATTATCAAATGGAACAGTAATTGAATTGAAATTATACTTTTTGTAATGCTAGTGACTCTATTACATTGTAATGTATCTGTTCAAACATATTTTCTCAACCGGCATATTGAAGCACAAAGAGTCAACACCATTTTACTCATGCACTCAACTGATACTGTACTATTGAATAATGAAATCGAAATTGATTAATGTCCTGACAAATTGAATGAAATGCCTCCACGATTGTTTTTTTTTTTTTTTTTTGGTTACAATTACTGCATATTATTATTTGTAGATTATACTACATATCACAGACAATTATATATAAAAACTTTTCAAGTAAATTAGAAATTTATAACCATATGCCAAAATGATAAAAATGTATCAAACTAAGCATTAATCAAAATTTTTTTTACTTATACCAGGTGGCTATAACCTGTCTCCCTTCAAATTTAAAATATTTAATTAGTTTTAGGTAGTGTTTGCATTTTAAATTATTTAGTTAAAGCTTGAATTTGAGCCTTGCCGCACATAAATGATTTCAGCATGTGGCTTAGCTTAGGTAAAAAAAAAAAAAATTATTCTTAAATTAGATTATAATTTTAAGTAATAATTAGTAAACATGATGGGGTGTTTGGTAAATTAGTTGTTAGCTGATAGGTGATTACATACAAAATGATTTTTCTCAAAAAGCTTATTCGAGCAGCTTTTTGAATTTTGTGTTTTGGAACAATAAACTGTTACAAAAACATAATTAATCTTTTCAAAAAAAAAAAAAAAACATAATTAATCAAACATTCATATTGGTTGTTTAACCAAGTCAAACAATTACTAGTGGTCAAAATTGACTGACACTACTGGAAATTATGGAATTTCCGACCACCTGAAAGTGGTCTTAAATCAAGTCGAAAGTCTTGTTTCGACCACTTTTGGTATCCGGAAAAACCTTTGTTGCTATTTTCGACCACTTTTTAATTTTAACTTGATTTAATATCACATTCAGGTGGTCAGAAATTTCATAATTTCTAGTAGTGTGATACGCTAAATATTTTATCAAACCGGACCAATATGATTAAATTTGCAGGATAAGAGTTTATCCGAACAGAAGAAGTTTTTGTGCACACCTTAAAGAAGCAGTGAAGAATGAATGTACCGGTTTGATGAGAGAGGCTGCAGGGCGGAAATGGTAAGGGTATTAGTATTCATCAAGACCCACCTGGTTTGCAAAGCAAGGTCGTTTCATCTGGGAATTTGAGCATGGAGCGCAAGGGAAAGGGGATTCTCATAGAAGAGAATGACGTGGAGAGGAGGAATATAATGTATTTGGTATTCATTGTGGAATGTTTAGTTCAATAGTTCACAGCCCTATACTTGTGCTAAGTTCCAGCTCCGGATGGTGTCTTGCCTGAAAACACCATAGATGATCATCCTTGCAAAATTTGTGCCATGCAAAGTTTTGAAACTAATGAGCGTGCAAACATCGTGCAAAATGGAGAAAAGGATCCCTTGTTTTTTTTTTTTTTCTTTTTTACTATTACTGGGTATTATTTTCAATTATTCTGGCAAGTAACTATTGAGGAATGATCAGTAGATTCACAAGATTTTGATGAGCAATGTTGGAATATAATTCGATCCTGCCTGTAATTAACTTCAATAATTTAACATGATTGTGGACCAACAAATTTTGGTGTGGGGCGGGCTTTTTGGTTTACTAGTAAAGTTTCTTAACTAATCAACTATTGTATTCATGTCATAAAATTTCACTTCATAAATTTTTTCTTATCGTTTGACAACAATCAAATATAGTTATTAGTATACTAATTTTTTACGCGCATTGTGCGATTGAGATAATGTCTATTTTTTTTTTTAAATAAGTACTTTAAAGTATATCAAGGCAAGAGTATATTGGAATTGTTCATGCATAGATAATTGAATGTTGAAATCAAATACGAGACATAAGGGAGAACAAATAAAAATTAAGACATAAAATATTAAATATATACTAATATTGAAGAGCTAACAACGGATTTTTGTTGTGTGATTTGAATACTCTTTTTGTCAATAAATCCTCCAAGTAGTTAATATGATTGACTTAATTATATATATTTTTTATTTTTTAAAAACTATTATTATTATTATTATTATTATTATTATTATTATTATTATTATTATTATTATTATTATTATTATTATTATTATTATTATTACTGTTATTGTTATTGTTATTGTTATTGTGAATGTATATCTTGTATTATCAAAATAACTCATAAGGAATAATACAATATATAAAATCCTGACTATGGCTACTCTAAACAAGGTAAGTATCAATTTACATAATGTAGAGAATTGTAACAGACAATTACAATGATTTGATTGGATATACATTAATACACCCCCTCAAGCTGAAGGTTGGAGGGAGACAACATTAAGCTTGCCACGTAGAACGTCAAAGCGCGAAGATGGAAGCGGTTTTGAAAAGATATCAGCCAGTTGATCTTTGGTGGATATAAAATTGACTAGAAAGTCCCCGGATGCTACTTTGTCACGAACAAAGTGAAAGTCAATCTCAACATGCTTCGTTCGAGCATGAAAGACAGGATTAGCACACAAGTAGGTGGCACCAAGATTATCACACCATAGTGTAGTCGGAGAATGAAGACCCAGTTCACGGAGTAGTGACACAACCCATGTGACTTCAGCTGCAACGTCTGCCAACCCTTTGTATTCAGCCTCAGTGGAAGAGCGAGCAACAGTGCATTGTTTACGTGAAACCCAAGAGATTAAGTTGCTGCCAAGAAAAACAGCATACCCGCTAGTAGACTTGCGATCGATCGGACAACCAGCCCAGTCGGAATCGGAATAGGCATGAATGTCAGAGGACTGGGAGATAGATAGACGAAGGCCATACTCCAAAGTACCCTTAACATACCGTAACACACGTTTTAAGAGACCCCAATGCTCAACTGTTGGAGCGTGCATAAACTGGTATAGACGGTTCACTGCATAGGAGAGATCAGGGCGTGTAATAGTTAAGTATTGGAGAGCCCCTGCTAAGCGTCGATACTGAGTGGGGTTATCAAAAACTTCATCAGATGGAGTGACTGCTTTAATAATAGAAGCCGGAGTGGTGAGCGGTTTGCAATCAGTCATACCAGCCCTGTTTAGAAGATCACCCATATAACGACGCTGAGAGAGTAAACAAAGCCCATTACTGAATAGAGTTTCAATGCCCAAGAAAAAAGATCGTCGACCGAGATCCCGTATTTTAAAAGTCGTAGCTAGTCGCTGAATAAGAGTGTGAATGAGACTAGAGTCATTTCCCATCATTATAATATCGTCCACATACACTAGTAAAAATACTCTAGCGGTACCAGCGGAGTAATGAAAAAGAGACACAACGATTTTTTAGGCTAAAAAACCTGTAGCAAGCAAAAACTCGTGAAGACGTTTGAACCAAGCACGTGGAGCCTGTTTAAGGCCATACAATGAACGCCGAAGATGACACACATGATTTGGATGCCCAGGTTCCTCATACCCAGGTGGTTGCCGCATGTATACAATTTCAGCCAAATGCCCATTTAAGAAGGCATTATGAATATCAAGTTGCCTTAGGGTCCAGTTATGAGAAACTGCGAGAGTGAGAAGGAACCGGACCGTCGTGGGTTTGACCACAGGACTAAAAGTGTCAAAGAAGTCTTCCCCCTCTATTTGATTAAACCCTTTGGCCACAAGCTGTGCTTTATAACGTTCAATAGACCCATCTGCCTTGCGTTTGATGCGATATACCCACTTACAACCAATAATATTCATGCCCGGTGTTGCGGGAACAAGGTCCCATGTGTGATTGTGAAGCAAGGCATTAAATTCTATGTCCATGGCATCACGCCAGTGAGGGTGACCAACGGCCTGGGTGTAGCAACTTGGATCAGTGGGGCCCATGTTTGCTACAAGAGCATGGAATTGTTCAGCGGTACCATGTGTCATATGCCGGAGACGCATTTCATGAGCCCGTTGTTGCGGGTTAGTAACCTTACGCCTTCGAGTGGTGCGGTTGCCACCAGTAGCTGGTGGTAAGACTCGAGGTGGAACCGGAGGGTCAGGTACGACATCAGTGGACGGTATAATTGGTCCTGAACCCCACGGTACATTAGAATCAATTGACGGCACTGTATCCTGTTCATTTAAAGCTGTAGAAAAAGGAAAAACAGTTTCGTCAAACCAGACATGACGACAGATAAAAGTCTTTCCAGTAGCAAGGTTTAAACAACGATACCCTTTAAAGGAAGTAGGATGGCCTAAAAAGACACATGAGGCAGACCTATACTCGATTTTGTGACGGTTGTAGGGCCGTAAGTAAGGGTAGCATAAGCACCCAAAGACGCGAAGGAATGTGTAGTCGGGAGTCTTTTTGTGCAACTGAAAATATGGAGTGTTGAATTGTATGGCTGACGAGGGGAGGCGATTTATGAGATATGTAGTTGTTTCAAAGGCAGAGTCCCAGTATATTAACGGAACTGACCCCTGAGCTAAAAGAGCCAACCCGGTCTCAACAATGTGCCGATGCCGGCGCTCAACACGGCCGTTCTGCTCGTGGGTGTATGCACAGGACTGTTGATGTACAATCCCAAGAGTATTGAATAAATTGTGCAAACGGCGATACTCACCCCCTAAGTCAGACTGGATGACCTTGATAGAACGTGAAAACTGACGTTCTACCATGGCCCGAAAAACATCAAACACCTTATATATATCAGTTTTTACACGAAGTGGATAATACCAACAAAAACGAGTGTGGTCATCCACGAATAAAACAAAATAACGAAAGCCATCTGCTGAAATAACAGGTGCAGGGCCCCAAATATCTGAATACACTAGATCAAGAACAACACTACTAGTGTATTTTATTCTATCTAAAGAAAGACGACTAGACTTGCCCAACTGACAAGCCGAACAAAGACTCGAAGAGCTCAATTTTTGTGGTGTAACTGGACAAGACCAGAGTGCACGTTACAAGACACGATTATGCGGGTGGCCTAAACGACAGTGCCAAACAGCGGAGGAAGCCCGAGCCGACAAAAACGCCAAATGGGACTGCGGAACAGTTAAAGAGTAGAGACCACCCGAACTGGGACCTTTAAGCAGCACCACCTTGGTTGTGCGGTCCTTCACAACAAAATACTCAGGATGAAATTCAAAAAAGACGTTATTGTCAGTGGTGAACCGGTGAACAGATAGTAATGAAACGGAAAGATCAGGAACATGTAGAATGTTGGACAGTTTTAAAGGTTTAGAGACAGATGGTATCGTTGCACAACCAGTACTAGAAATACTTAAACCTGTACCGTTACCAATGCGAAGGACGTCGTTGCCGGTGTAACCCTCGGATTGCGACATCATGGCCGGATTGGGAGTGGCGTGAGAGGATGCGCCGGTGTCAGGATACCAAGCCGCAACCTCCGGTGGAGAACTGTCGTCGGAAGGAACTGCGACATTTGCCTGCGGTGGTGATGGTTGATCGGAGTACCGCCGGAAACAATAAATGGCAGTGTGGCCGTGTGACCGGCAAATTTCACAACGAGGAGAGCCACCACGACCACCACCACGGTTCTGCCACTGATTGGGGTGACCACCACCGCGATTCTGTCTGCCTCCACCATTCTGCCTGCCCCGAGTGGCAACCATCGCCGTAGGAGCTCCAATCCCCGGACCGGTCAGAAAGTTGTCGGAGTGGATAAACGTCTGAGCTTGTAGGTAGTCCGACAATTGAGGGAGAATGACCGGAGTGCCGGATACAGCCAAAGAGGAGGCCATCGCCCGGAATTCCGACCGGAGCCCCCTAAAAACGTACAGATTCTGCTCGTCAAGAGGCATCGGCCGGCCGGCCTGCGCTAGGTCTTCGACGAGAAGTTGGGCTCGGCCGAGATACTCGGCAGTTGACATCTCCCCTTGGCGAAGCGCCTGAAATTGACCAAGAAGGTTGAGGCACCGGATCCTCGTCAATGAGCCTAGAGCATTCTCAATGGAGCACCATACTTCCCTTGCGGTGGAGCGGCCAACCGCAAGATACATGACCTCCTCGGAGAGGGAGGAAATCAAGAGTGATAAGATGGACTGGTCTTGTTGAGTCCATACGGAGAAGGCCGGATTGGCAGCGTGGACGTGGCTTCATCGGAGGTGCCGGCGGCTAGAGGGGAGACGACCAACGCCGGTGGGCATGACGTGGTTCCATCAACAAAGCCGAGAAGGCCCTGACCCCGGAGGAAAGGGATGAGCTGTGTACGCCAGAAAGGATAGTTTCGTGTCGTCAGTTTGATCAACACGAAATGGTGAGACGAGGTAAGGTGGTTTGGTGTAACACCCCGTGTTACGACCCCTAAGATCATTTAAATCATTTAATCAATTACCCAAAAGAAAGAATTAAATCACAATAATTAATTAGGAAGGCCCACCATAGTCCACGGGCCCTTATCCCTAAACCCAATCCTTAGTCCCAAAAGAAATAGAACTAGCAAGCCCATAATATTAGTTCCTAACTAGGACTCCTAAATATATAAATAGGGGACTTAAGAGGCACCTAGAAACCCCCCACAAGAATAACGCCCCACCTCCCCAAAGAGCTCCAAGAATCCCCCTAGAAGAAATCAAGAAAGCAAGAAAGCTTAAAGAAAGACCCTTCATAGCCAAGGAATTAATTAAGGCTAAGAGGTAACCCATGTCTCAACAAAACCTATTTTCATAGTTATGATTCCCCCTTAGGGTTTCCCCATATTATTGTGTATTAATGACTTGTGATGATTATGATTGATGATTGATGTGATGATCCCATGGGGGATCTTGATAATCTTGATATTGGGAGATTCTTGATAATTATGATGTTCTTGATGATTATATGGAGTTCTTGATGATTATGTGTTGTTCTTGATAATTGTGTGATGCCCTTGATGCTTATGTGTTATTCTTACCGAATCTTGCAATTAGAAGGCGAATCGTATTCTTGTTGATATAAAAGTGATTAGAACCCTAGGTTGTATCGTATGATATTATTCTTGGGTTATCGGGTGGGTTAATCGCATGTTTGGGTGTTGATTATGTTTAGAAAAGCATGATAGGTTATGTGCCGTTCGTTTCTCGTATCTGATCCATCAATTGTCTACGTGTTGTCGTTGATTGCGTTGTAAAGTGTCTAAGCATGGTTTCGGGTTCCACAATGGTTCCCGGGGCGAATTTGTGTGATAAGAGTCAGTGGGGGACCCGCCACCTACCCACGGCCGGAATAGTGATCCCGGCAGCGGGCAGCTGCCCGCCAGCGACCCGCTGCCCGGAATAGTGAATCCGGCGGGCAGCCGGCGGGTGGCCCCCACCCACCGGCTACCCGCTGGAATTTTCCCCCATCTTGGGTTCCCGGCTTCCCCGTTTGATGTTTCCCCGTCCCCCGTGGTGTCCCAACGGACTCCGTTTATCGTGCCTATGTCTAGTTTGATATTTCGGGTACCGTTCGTAGGTTTATGAGTCTATTATATTGCATGCTAGTTGAATTGGTACCTCGTTGACCTAGGTGGAAGAAGTATGAACCCCTTAGGACTATTCTTAGTATGTGATGGATCACGCATAGGTTTTGTTGTACGTTTTCTCCCCCTTCCCAATGTGTTAATGTGGGTTGCATGTTATGTGTGCATGTAACCCCGAGTTGGTTAAGATCAATCGGGCTATACGGGCAGTCGGGTGGGCTGAGAACCATACCGGCTGTTAACCAGGCTGGTAGAGACCGGTCAGGTATATAAATATTATATAGGACTAAGTTCCACTATACGGGCAGTCGGATGGGCAGAGAATCATACCGGCTGTTAACCAGGCTGGTAGAGACCGGTCAGGTATATAAATATTATATAGGACAAAGGTCCACTATACGGGCAGTTGAATGGGCTGAGAACCATCCCAACTGTTAACCAGGCTGGTAAAGACCGGTCAGGTATATAAATATTATGTAGGACAAAGGTCCATCAGTCGGTTGCGATCGGCTCCTCCGTAATGTGAGACGGGGCAGGGTGCTGCGGGGCCGTGTCAGAGCTATATACGCTGACCCTCATGTATGGGCATGCGATTGGTCCTGTGGCGCCAACAAAGTGTGCTATGTGATGAGATATGGAGGAATTGTGTTTATGAGTATATTGGGGGATGTGACTAAGGGATTTATGCTGGGGATTGTTTATATCGGGTTATGATTATTAATTGTGCTCAGCTTTATCTGTCTTGCCTGTTAAGGATTGTATACGACTGTTATAACTGTTGCTTGTGTCTAGCCTTATCTGTCGAGTCATTCCCGTTTTAAAAGCTAGAGTCTCATAGGATATATCTTCATGCTTCAAAATGGTTTTCGTATATCTATATATATCTCTATATGTATTGTATTTCAACGCGTTGGAGTGGGTTACCAGCATCTCTCGCTGAACAGATATATTTGGCTTTCAGGAACAGAAGAATAAGTCACCGGAGCGCGCTAGAACTTGGAACGTAGAAGTAGATAGTTTCTCCTTCGGCCTGCGTGCCATGTTTATGCATTTACATTACTAAGGATATTAGATAGTTAGCCTGTGCACCTGGGTTCTCTAGCTCAGGTGTAGCATAGCACCCCGTACTCTTGTATTATGTTTTGGGGATTTAATGGGATTTCACCTTTATTTTATAAGTTTTAAATATCCTAAAAATCTGGGGTGTTACAGTTGGTATCAGAGCCTAAAGTTGACCCTAGGATAAGACTCTTAAGATCAGACCTTAGGACATTAAGCTTAAACACTAGGTGCTTAGGAACATAGGATTTAGGAATCTTAGGACGCGCGGTGAAATTGTGAAACCTACACATAACCTCTCCTCACTTTATCCCTCTCTAACTTAAAGAAACCCCCCCCCCCCCCCCCTCGCTTATTACATCAAGGTAAGGACGCAAAATAACATCGACCTATGAACTCCAGGATGGCACCGAGAAGAAGACAGGTAGGAACACCGAAACTCCCCACCGAGGAATTCCTGACCCAGAATCTACAACGCCTGGCCCAAATTGCCCAGGCACTAAGTACTACCGCTCCCCAGCCTTTACCAAACGAGAACTTGGAGATCCACCAACAAATCTCGACGCACCAACCACCCACCCTCTCAGGAAACGAAGATCCCACGACCCTCGAAGAGTGGATCGGGACTTTCGACAAAATATTCAGGACAACTAAATGTCCCGAAGACCACTAAGTAAGAATGGCCTCCTTCTACTTCAGACACGAGACCGACACCTGGTGGGCTCACGAAGGACCCACCTGCGAACAAGACCCCGGATTCAACTGGGAAACCCTAAAAGCGCGGCTACGAGAACAATTCTATCCCAACCACCTAAGAGCCACCATATACGAAGAATTCCTCCACCTAAGACAAGGTGCAACCTCGATCACGGAATACTACCAACAATTTCGCCAACTGGCTCGCCTCATCCCCGAGCTAGTACCCACCGAGAGGATCAGGATCGAAAGGTTTATAACAGGCCTTGACCCCGAATGTCAAAAAGCCCTGGCCACACAAGAGCCAGGAACACTCAGGGAAGCCTATGCCAAGGCGTCCCAACTACAACAAGTGCCAAACCAACCCCGGGAAACACGCCTGGGAAACAAAAGAAAATCAGAAGGAAATCACATGAACCCCACCCGCGGCCTTAAAAACCCCAGGGCCGCCTCGCCCCGCCAAGTCACAACACCAACCGCTCAAGGAAGAATCCTTACTCTAAGCAAAGCCAAAATTGGGGATAGCAACATAGTCTCCGGAACCTTCCTAGTACACCTTCCTAGTATATATAGAAATCGGTTCTCGTGCGGGTGAGGGCTTCAGGTGCGGTTGTGCAGTTTAATCTGAGCTATTCATCTCGCTTTAATCAACGTCCAAGATTACCAAAATTAAAAAAAAAAAAAATACGGTGGCAATTTTGTAATTTTTGCATCTAGGTCAAAATTAAGGTGATTGTTTTTGTGCTTAATGTGCATGGGGTTTGTGCTTAAGGTGCGTGGGGTTAGTGATTAATGTTAGTAGTTGTTGAAACTTAAGTCTGTGAGTTAATACTTAAAGTGCGTCAGTTTAATACTTAATGTGCGTGAGGTTTGTACTTAATGCAATGTGCGTGGGTTTTGTACTTAATGTGCGTGAGTTTGTGCTTAATGTGAGACATTTTAAAATCTTAAGTGTGTGAGTTTTGTGTTCAATGTGTTTTGTTCTGTGCTTAATGTGCGTGGTTTTTGTACTTAAGGTGAGTGATTTGTGTTCTTAAGGTGCTTTGTTTGTGGACTTAAGGTGCGTGATGATTTGTGTATTTAAGGTGCGTCATGTTAATGCTTAAGGTGCGTCAAATCGCACAACCGCACGGAAGCATCAACCGCACCTGAACCCTTCCATATATATATATATATATATATATATATATATATATATATATATATATATATATACACTTTTGAATATTGAAATTTATGAATGATTCTGATACCAAAAAATAATAATAATCATTTAGATATTATTAAGGAGTGAGGATCACACTAACATCTTTGCAGAAAATTGGTTCAAATTTGTGAAGGATTCATCAAACTCGAATAGAAACTGAACAAAATTGGAATCGGTTGAAGAAGAAAAAGATGATGATAGACGATGTTGATGTATGTTTATTTAGGGAATATGTTATTTAAATATAGTTTTGCGAATGGATAAGTTATTATGACTCTGTTCTTATATAACCCTTGTATGTATATGTGTATATATAGTACAGGTTTTAGTAAATAAGTATTAGAAAATAGAGAAATTTTAACAAATGTGGCTTAGTCTAGTTGGCTGAGTGCATGGTTGGTCTAAATGCAGGCCAGGGTTTGAATCCCCTCTATCTGGTTTTAACTTTTCCTTTTCTTATTATTTCACTATTAACACTACCTTTTCTCATTATTTCACATTTTCACTATTATTAATATAGTGCATATTGCTTCAACACAATAATATAATCTTCATTTATATATTAATAATAAGATGAGATGTGTAATTTATTATGGATCTTTTATTCAAATTATTTTATCAAATTGATTATGTTCATATTTTGTTATGAATATTTTTATAATGTTTTGATGTGTTTTATAATTTTATTATATCCAATATTATTTATGGCTATACTTTTTAATTGTTTCATTTTTTTTTCTAATTATCAATTTTTCTTTAATATTTTGCCCCCGCTGAAAAAAATTCCTGGGTCCGCCACTGTTGATGATCAATTTTCATTGAAAAAAAAATTATGAAAGCTAGTAGCTTAGTTTGTTCATGAATTTTTTTTAAGGAAAAAAAAAAAAAAAAAAGAACCTTGCTTATTGTAATAATATAGCACATAATTTGCACATGATCTACAAAATTATTCTTAAATAAATCGTGAAGACGTCATACCTCTACAACTAGTCATTAAAAGTCAGCAATTGTATTCTTTTGGATGCTCCTCAAATACTTACTAACCTAGTAAAAGAGCTTCAACTCTAATAATACTCTACATATACACACTACTTACCTCAAGTGAGGTTTAAACCTTTCACCTCCCACTTAAGGAAACAACCCGATACCAGTAAACCACAAGCCACTCTCATAGCTATTTAATCATGCAGAAATTAGCTACTTTATAAACATATTTCACCGTATAATACAAATTTCTTCAACGTAACTCCTTCATTGCACAAATAATACAAAAATGAAGTTAGTCCCTTGCATGAAGACAATGAATTATCAAAACAAAGGATTCAATCGAAGTTGATTGATGTCGTGACAAATCGAATGAAATGCCTCCACGATTTTTTTATTATTATTTTTTATGTTTTATTTTTTATTTTTTTTGTTACTATTACTGCGTATTTATTTGTAGATTATACTAGATATCACAAACAATTATATATAAAAACTTTTTAAAGTAAATTAGAAACTTATAACCATATGCCAAAATGATAAAAATGTAGCAAACTAACCATTAATCAAAATATATTTACTTATACCATGGCTATAACCTGTCTCCCTTCAAATTTAAAATATTTAATTTGTTTTTGGTAGTTTTTTTCATTTTAAATTATTTAGTTAAAGCTTGAATTTGAGCCTTGCCGGACTGAAATAATTTCAGCATGTGGCTTAGCTTAGGTAAAAAAAATTATTCTTAAGTTAGATTATAATTTTAAGTAATAATTAGTAAACATGATGTGGTGTTTGGTAAATTAGTTGTTAGCTAGCTGATAGGTGATTACATACAAAATGATTTTTTCTCAAAAAGCTTATTTGAGCAGCTTTCTGAATTTTAGTGTTTTGGAACAATAAGCTGTTACGAAAACATAATTAATCAAACATTCATATTGGTTGTTGACCGGGTTGATGACGAGGTTGCAGGGCGGAAATGGGAAGGGTATTAGTATTCATCAAGACTCATCTGGTTTGCAAAGCAAGAGGTCGTTTCATCTGGGAATTTGAGCGTGGAGGGCAAGGGAAAGGGAAAGGGGATTCTCATGATGTTGAGAGGAGGAGTGTATTTGGTATTCATGGTGGAATGTTTAGTTCACAACCCTATTACTTAATTGTGCTAATTTCCAAAACCCTACCATAATGCAAGGTAGTTCATCATCATCCTTGCAAAACTTCTGCCATGCAAAATTTCATTAGTAATGGGCGTGCAAACATCGTGCAGAATGGAGAAAATGATCCCTTAAATTTCATTCATCCATTGTTGACACTTTTGAAAATCCAGTCATAGACGATCATCATCCTTGGAGGCTTCTTGGTTTAATAATAAGGTTTCTTAACTAATCAATTATTATGTTCATGTCATATAAAATTTCACTCCATAATTTTTTTCTTTTCGTTTGACAACAATCAAATATATTTATTAGTATATATATATATATATATATATATATATATATATATATATATATATATATCTAAAAACATAATAAGTTTCAATCCAGGTTATGTCCCTGGTTTTATGTCCGTTTTTTCTGTTAACTTTTTTTGCACCTTATGCTATAAATGTTGTACTACATAATTATTTGGACAAAAATATCACTGCCGTTATAACTTCTGTTATCTTTCACATTATTATTATCATGCACTTGCATACACAATATATTTTTCTTACATTCTTCAATTGGTAAGTTTGATTTTATTTAGATCTTAATTAAATGCTACCATAGTTATATTTAGTAATATATCATTTCTATAATTCTTACTTCATTAATATTAATATGAATTCTACAATTTTATATATATATATATATATATATATATATATATATATATATATATATATATATATATATATATATATATATATATATATATATATATATATATATATACACACACACACACACACACATTTATATAACTAAGATTTTAACATTAAGTATTAATATTGGACATATATTTTTGCGCATCGCGCATATGAAAAACTAGTATATGAATATGAGTCACTAGGTTTTATGTTAGATAGAAGCTTTTGAATACTGAAATTTGTGAACGATTCTGATACCAAAAAAGAAAAAGAAAAAAAAATAGACAGTATTAAAGAATAAGGGCTACACTAACATCTTTGGTTCAAATTTGTGAAGGATTCATTGAACTCGAATTGAAGGCTGGAGAAAATTGGCTTGAAGCTCGTCGTATTAGCTATTGAATCATGATGAAGAAGAAGATGATGATAGATGATGTTGATGTATGTTTATTTAGGGAATATACTATTTAAATATAGTTTTGCAAATGGATAAGTTATTACGATTCTGTTCTCCTATATAACATGCTAATCATGAGTCTTAACCATTAATTTTCATTGAAAAAAGAATTAAATTACAAAAATAAGTGTTTTTAATTTCTTAACTAGTGTCTAGCACGGAAAATTTTTTGTTATTATGAATTTAAAATTAAAAATAGAAAAAAAATGAAAAGATGTTAAATTGTACAATATAATAATATAGTTGGACTTTTATATATTTGGTCTAGTATCTATTTTCATAACATACAAAATAAAATTTTAAATTTTGTATGGTTAATATAATCTCTAATCATTTACATATTTAGATAAATTTATAGAAAAAATTCACATAATTAAGTTGATTTATTCATAATTGTATTTCATATATATTATAACTATAAAAATATGAATAATAACTAAGAGAGTACAGTTATACTTAGAAATCAATAAAAAAATGTAAATTTTAAATTTTGTAAGAATAAGTTTAAAGAAAAGTGACTATAGCGTCCGTTACTGAACAGAAAAGACGCCGATAGTCAACATTAGGCGACTGAAAATAACAGATACCTAATGTTAGGATTTTCAGCGACTTGTTCATAGGCCCTGTTGTAAAACAGACACGAATGACCATTTTTGTACTAGTAACTATAATGTGTCTCCCTTTAAATTTAAAATATTTATTTAGTTTTAGGTAGTATTTTACATTTTATATTATTTAATTAGTTAAAACTTGAATTTGAGCTTTGCCTAGCATAAATGATTTCTGCATGTGGCTTAGGTGAAGTTTTTTATTTCTTAAGTTAGATTATAATAATTTTAAGTAATAATTAGTAAACATGATATGATTTAATTTGCAGGATAAGAGTTTAATGAAGCTGCAGCAGGTGGATAGAAGAAGTTTTTGTGCACACCTTAATGAAGCAGTGAAGAATGAATGGACCGGTTTGATGACGAGCTTGCAAGGTATTAGTATTCATCAAGACCCATATATCCACCTGGTTTGCAAAGCAATGGATTGTTTCTATTAGGATTCTATGTATTTGAGCTTGATTAGAAGGGCAAGGGGTTCTATCATCTTATGGTGGATTAGTGAATTATTGGGCCGAGCTGGATTTGAACTAGCGTAGACATATTGCTAACGAATTTACAGGCCATCCCCATTAACCAATCGGGCATCGACCCAGGAAGAATCAAATTGAAATTGGTAATCCATGAGAAACTTCCTTTCATAGTACCCTACCCCCAGGGGAATTCGAATCCCCGTTGCCTCCTTGATTGGAAGGAAGGGCGGGGGAGGAATAGAATCACTACACTAGCACGACCAAAGATACCAAATTGGAAAATGAAAAATATTCTCAATTCATATTCCTAATATTCATTATTCTTTTTTTATTATTAAAAAGATTCTAAAAAATGACCATAGATTAATATATAGATATTTTGATTACTTTATCTTGATCTTGTGCGGATAGCGGGAATCGAACCCGCATCTTCTCCTTGGCATAGAGAAATTTTAACATTCGACGATATCCGCAATTTTTCGTTATTGACACATGTACATAATATGTACACACATATATGATATATACCCGGATCCTATTTGTGCAGTGCCGGAGAGACTTCCTTCTTATATATATACCTGTAATCTGTACATTGTAATATTTGATTGATTCAATACAACTCTATTAGTTCTCATCTGGTATCAGTTAAGCTAGGGATTCTTTCCAATGGATGACGGATTTGTTAATTCCTCTGAACGGACATTCTCTAATATTCCTCTCTCTTCCGCTACATCGGTGGTTAATTCTTTATCCACCGCTCGACACTTCATCCACATTAAGTTGACCGACAATAACTACCTGTTTTGGAGAGCCCATGTTGTCCTGTTTCTTAATGATCATGATCTTCTTAGATTCGTTGACGGAACGAATCCATGCCCACCGGCCACCCTCTCCGTCAACGGCGACGACACGGCAGTAGTGCAACCCAATTTGACGCACCATGCATGGATCCGGCAGGACCAAGCTCTATTATCCATTTTGATGGCATCATTTTCCGATGAGGTCATGCCCCTCGCTATCGGCCATCGCACCAGTCGGGCTGTTTGGACTGCCGTGGTTGGTGCGCTTGCTTCGTCTTCCCGCTCCCGTGGCCTGAATCTGCTCGACCAGTTGCAAACACTTAATCAAGGAAACATGTCTGTGACTGACTATATCGGCAAGGCTAGGCTTTTCATCGAGGAGCTCACTCTCGTCGGCCGACCTATGACACTTGAAGAACAAAATCTTTATGTTCTTCGGGGGTTACGACCAGAGTTTAGGGGGCTTGCGTCGTCTCTCAATGTGCACGGTCAACTGGTTACGCTCCAAGAGCTTGCGGATCTCTTGGGCGCGGAGGAATTCATGATGCACGGTGGTCCCCGATGTGGCTCGCCGACTGCTTTCACGATGCAAAGAAGAGGCCAGAAGGGTTGCGGCTCCAGTTGTAACAACGGAGGCCGTGGTTCCAGCCAGAACAATGGCCAAACCAGCCACCCGCGCGATGGTGGCGGCGGTCGTGGACGTGGTGGAGGACGCAATGGCATCTGGCAACCCAAGTGTCAACTTTTTCACGTGTTAGGTCATACTACTATCACGTGCCATCTTCGGTATGCCAAGGATCCTCAGGTCAACATCGTATATCAAGAATCTCCTTCGGATCCTCAAGGTTCTCATAGTTGGTTTCCATATGCAGGTGCCACCAATCATACCACTCCGAACATAGCTGTTTTCTCCTTCTCAGAAGAGTACAATGGTAATGACACGTTACGTGTCGGCGATGGTATGGGAATATGAGATTACTTATTAGTCATATTGGTCATGGTACCTTTAATTCCTTCTCGAGATCCTTTCAATTGTCTAATATTCTTCATGTGCCTAGTTTGTCTACATCTCTATTATATTATCCGTTCAAAAATTTACATCAAATAATAAGGTGCTCTTTGAGTTTCACCCATCTTTTTTTTTTTGTTGTTGTGAAGGATATCAACACCAAGGAAACCCTTCTACGGGGCAATAGTTCTGGAGGGCTTTACAAGCTTCCCATTCCGAGTTCATCTCCTACTGCGTTTCTTTCGGCTAGAGCCTCAGTGTCTGTTTGGCATGATCGTCTTGGTCATCCTCATCAACGGGTTCTCAGTCAAATAGTTTCTTCTTGTTCGATTAGTGGGTCTATAAATAATATTCGTTGTATTTCAGGTCTATGTAATGCATGTCAGTTAGGGAAATCAACACGTTTTCTCTTATCACGTGTTGAATCCTGTCATGAATAACTTTACAAATGCGAAACAATCAATTTGTTGGTAGTAGCCCACAAGCTTTACAAATGCAAAACAATCAGTTGGGAGGTAGTCTAACAATACAAAATACTCAGTTGGGCAGTAGTCTACAACCTACTATACCAATGCTTATGGTTTCCAATCTTTTGGTATTAGAGCCAAGCCAAAGGTCATGGTTTCGAAATCTCAGCACCACACTTGAGGGGGCGTGTTGAGCATATAATATATATAAACATAAATGTGCAATTCAACTATCAATTTAGGCTTTTAATTGAGATGGAGCACATGCTTCAATTTGGTTCATATGGGAATTTGAGCGTGGATGGAAAGGGAAAGGGAAAGGGGATTCTCATAGAAGAGAATGATGCGGAGAGGAGGAGTGTATTTGGTATTTATGGTGAAATGTTTAATTAGTTCACAACCCTATTACTTAATTGTGCTAATTTCCAAAACCCTACCATAATGCAAGGTGGTTCATCATCATCCTTGCAAAACTTCTGTCATGCAAAGTTTTGAAACTAATGGGCGTGCAAACATGGTGCAGAATGGAGAAAATGATCCCTTCAATTTCATTGTTGACACTTCTGAGAACCAAGTCATAGATCCTCACACTTGGGGGCTTTTTGGTTTAATAGTAAGGTTTCTTAACTAATCAATTATTATATTCATGTCATATAAAATTTCACTCCATGCCATAGTTTTTTTCTTATCGTTTGACAACAATCAAATATATTTATTAGCATATATATAGTATGAATATGAGTCACTAGGTTTTATGTTAGATAGAAGCTTTTGAATACTAAAATTTGTGAATGATTGTGATACCAAAAACCAAAAAATTAAAAAAAATAATAATTTAGATAGTATTAAGGAGTAAGGACCACACTAATATTTTTGGTTCAAATTTGTGAAGGATTCATCAAACTCGAATTGAAGGCTGGAGAAAATCGGCGTGAAGCTCGTTCTAGTAGTTATTGGCCCTATTTGGTAAAATAATTAGCTTATAGGTCAATATTTTGATTTCTTTGATCACTATTAGATATTTGACTTGATTAAAAAAATCAATATAAATATTTAATTAATTAGCTTTTTGTAATGTCAAAATGCTAAAATTTTAAAAAATGTTCAAAGCAACTTTTTCAATTAACTTTTTGAGAAAAAAAGTTATATCAAACAGTTATCAGCTAACCGCTCATTTGTCAAACACCTTCTACAATCAGCTAATATGATCAACTAGTTATACTATCTAATTAAGACAATCAGTTAACAGCTAACAACCATTTACTAAATAGGGATTGACATGTGTGTATTAAAATATATATTATATATATAAAAATAAAAAAATATATATATATATATATAATATATATTTTAATAAATAAATAAATAAAACAAAAAAAAAAAACAAAAGAAAAATGTTTTAAAAAATCACGTGTAAATCATTTGAAGACTTAACCTCTTAAGCAAATCACTTTAAGGGGCGTTTGGTTCAGGTTATATAATATAACCAAGGGAATGTGACATTCCAAAGCTCACATTCCAGTGTTTGGTTCATATTATCTGAGGGAATCTAACATTCCTAAGGAATGTCACATTCCCTCCACATAGGATTTTGAAGGGAATGTGATTCCCTTCAAAATCTTAGGTAATGTAAGATAACCTTGGTTATGTTAGTTTATTATATATATATATATATATATATTTATTTATTTATTTATTTATTTATTTATTTATTATGTTATGTTAGCATATAAAATAATTTTGTTTCTCAAGTTCAAGATTTTAGTTAATATTTTAAAATCATGTAATTATATATGATACCGTTATCTTATTTATTTATTTTAATTTTTAAATTTATTAAAATATATGAAAATATGTTAAGGATATTATAGTGTGTATAAAAGATAACCCTAAACCAAACATCATTATATTACATACCCCAATTTTAACCAAACACAGGAATCTAACATTCCCAGTAATCTAACATTTCCAGCAATCTAACATTCCCTAAGGTAATTTGACATTCCGTGAACCAAACGACCCCTAAATTTAATTGAAAAATTTTACAGATTTAAGAGATTTGAATAGAGTTTTTTTAGTTAGGGATTCAGTATTCCAATTAAGGCCAATTTGACCCTTTTTTCCAAAATATAATGCAAAAACTAAACGATGTTCTAAATCCCTTACAGAGTCGACAAACAAGCAGGAAGCAGCGCAGTAGACTGTAGACCTTACCAATGGCGGACAACAAGAAGCGTCGGCGAGCAACTCAAAACTCCGACGACGCGGACGCCGATGCGGTCCCATTCAAATCCAAGGTAAAACCCGACTCCGTTATTCTCCAAACCCTCGAAACCCTAAAGAAATCCGAGGCCGCCTCTTCATCCGCCGCCTCCTCCTCCAAGGCCCTAACCCTTTCCGACCTTGACCTCTCGGCCATCTGCCGCGAAGTCAGCGACCTCCCGCTCTCCGCTGTCCAGTCCTCCATCGAGACTCTCATTCTCAGCCTCGCCCGCTCCATCCTCTCCGGCGAAGGCTTCTCCTTCTCCGTCCCCTCCCGCTCCTCCGCTAACCAGCTCTATATCCCCGAACTGGACCGCATCGTCCTCAAGGACAAGACATCGCTCCGCCCCTTCGCCAACGTCTCCACCGTCCGCAAAACCACCATCACCACCCGCATCCTCCAGCTCGTCCACCAGCTCAGCTTGAAGAACATCCACGTCACCAAGCGTGACCTTTTCTACACCGATGTGAAACTCTTCCAGGACCAGACTCAATCCGATGCTGTCTTAGACGATGTCTCGTGTATTCTGGGCTGTACGAGGTCCAGCCTCAATGTGATTGCTGCTGAGAAAGGGGTTGTTGTGGGGAGGCTTATATTCAGTGATAATGGCGATATGATCGATTGCACGAAGATGGGGATGGGTGGAAAGGCCATTCCCCCAAACATTGATCGAGTTGGGGATATGCAGAGTGATGCATTGTTCATCCTGTTGGTTGAGAAGGATGCTGCTTATATTAGGTTAGCAGAGGACCGGTTTTACAATCGATTCCCGTGTATAATCGTGACTGCTAAGGGGCAGCCGGATGTAGCTACGAGGTTGTTCTTGAAGAAAATGAAGATGGAGTTGAATTTGCCTGTGTTGGCTTTGGTGGATAGTGATCCGTATGGGTTGAAGATTCTGTCTGTGTATGGGTGCGGGTCGAAGAACATGTCCTATGATAGTGCAAACTTGACAACCCCGGATATAAAGTGGCTGGGGATTCGGCCTAGCGATTTGGACAAGTATAACATACCGGAGCAGTGCAGGTTGCCAATGACGGAGCAGGATATTAAGACCGGGAAGGATCTGTTGGAAGAGGACTTTGTGAAGAAGAATCCCGGGTGGGTTGAGGAGTTGAATTTGATGGTGAAAACCAAACAGAAGGCTGAGATTCAGGCGCTGAGCTCCTTCGGGTTTCAGTATCTATCTGAGGTGTATTTGCCATTGAAGCTGCAGCAGAAGGATTGGCTCTAATGGTTAGGTTAGTTCTTGCATACACTGTACTTGCTCTGGTCTTTGCCCGCGAAAACTAGGAGTGTTTGTTTCATTGTTGTGCCGGTTTTATTCAAGTTTGATATGATTGTAATACTTTGCAACATTGGTTATACTATTGGAAACTTACTGGGCATTAGATTTGCTTTTATAACTTGGTGGTTGTGAGAGTAAGAGTGCAAAATTATTTGAAGGCATTTCATTTCTTGGAGTCCTATTGAATTGGTTTCTAAGGCTTTGGCTGAATTAAGCAGTGGAAATAATTTGCAATTGTCTCTATGGTAGCTACTATTTTGAGTGGATTGTCCACTCCTTTTGATCAACTGCTGTTGGGCTTTTGCTGCAATTATGGATAAAATATGAATCTTAATATTGATTAATCAGCCTGCTTTTCTTTTTTGGATATTGATAGAATAAATCAGTAAATTATATACTATGATGATTAATCTTTTATTCTAGACAACTGAAATGGCAGGCATAATTGCCGATTTTGCAATTGTCACCAATGTGACTCCCTATACTCCCTCTGTTTCGGCAAGAAACACAGACCAAGTTAAAAAAATACAATCTTTAGTGCATTCCACCCAGTAATACTAAGGAGACAGGCAACCACCATTTTATTAATCTTCTTTCCAAATTGTACTTATTATGTCTGATTTAATCTGTGGATTTACCTCTTATTAATAAAAATCAACCATGGAAGTCTTGGAAGAACACATGGATCAAGCTTTGTAATTTGTATTCTGATTTGTGGGTTCTTTGAAGTTGTTGGAATTTGATATCTTGAAAATGAGATGCAGATGCTCTGCATATTCTGTGCTTCTTGCCGAAACAGAGGGAGTATAGAGAGAGGGAGAGGGAGATAATGGAAGCAGCGGTGACCATGCTGGGGGAGGTAGTGGTGAATGTGCTAGGGGAGACCTTGACGGGGTTACTGTTTGAGAACATCCAGCTTTTCTCTTCTCCCAAAAAGTTGAATTCCTTACCCCAAGGGCCCTCCATACTCCGACCCGACAGAACATTTAGCTTATCTCAGGCTAGAAGATGACGTCGGGAAGCTCCTCACTTGCGTCAATTAGATTATAATAATAAATAAATAAATAAAATAAATATGTGGCAATTTAGTCAATAAAGGTTGGAAGTTAACCTATTACAAATGTTAATTGTTCTTTTTTTTCGGATTCAATGGCTTATTTGGAGGTTATTTGAATTTGGTGACGTAATTGTTATTTCTTAAATAGTTAAGTGATTTATTTGTACTTTAACAATAATAATAATAATAATAATAATAATAATAATAATAATTTTTTAATAAATTTAATATTTATATTTTATGAAATAATTAACATATAACTCCAATATATAATGTGTATATATTATTATTATTATTATTGAATACATGGTGAATACATGTTCATGGTAATAATAATGAAAAAGATAACGGAAGTTATAACGGTAGGAATATGTTTGTCCAAAATATTGTATAGTACAATTTTTATAGTATAATGTATAAAAAAGCGTAACAAAAAAAAAGAAACTGTATAACCTCCAATGAAGTATATATTAAAAAACAAACAACTTTTTAGATTTTAAGGGCCTCAAATGAAGTATATATTAAAAAAACAAACAACTTTTTAGATTTTAGGGTGTTACAGTTAATACCTCTAATGGTCATTCGAGTATTGTGTTTTTACCACCAAATATCCTCCAAGAACAAAACAGTAGTCTTCTATGTAAATGTAACGCCACTTTCATGTCTTTGCTAACAGAAGACCACATGTGGTCATTTTTTTATACTCGAATGAGGTCATATTTTTATATTCATAGGACATTTACTAATCACCTTTTGATACTCAGAGAACAACATTGTTGGTCATTTTATACAAGGGGAGGTATTAACTATACATATACTATATGATGATTAATCTTTTATTCTAGACAACTGAAATGCCAGGCATAATTGAATTAATTTTGCAATTGTCACCAATGTTACTCCCCAAATCAATCAGGTAGAAATCATTTCACTATGGTTTAGAAAAATAATACTCCACAATTTATGCACTTATAAATAGACTTCGCAGCAGGCAAGTTACAACAATGAATTAGTGCAATTGGTTATGCAAAGAATTAGCTAAAATGAATGCATTATTGGAACATTTGAATAAAACCCTGAAGCAGAAGAACCAAGACAAACATGCAGTAAACAGGTAGGTAGGTTCAGTAAAACCGTACATAAAATCCTCAATTAAATATATATTTTAAAAAGTGAAGTAAGCTACTAACTTGAAATTCAACCATCAAAATGAGGTAAGGAAGGAACAATCTGGATAAGTAAACTAACTAAGCCACTTAAACTTGTAATTCCTGCCACACTCAAAATCTTGTCCACAACAGTTGCAAAACCCAGATATTACTAAATCAAAGCAGTAAACAAAAGTAGATTCTAAGCAATTTCAACAAATCACTGTGACACTCCCAGCCACTTGGTGAAGTTCTCAAACTCGGTGTAGTCGGAATCAGAGATCATTGTTTTGTACCAGGCCTTTGATGCACCTCTAATGGCAGATGCTTCCTCCTGCAAATCAACATTACAAATATCAAGGTTTCCAATATTTGTACATCAACATTACAAACACCAAAAAAGATCTCAATGCCTTGAGAAACCAAGAATATGTCATCTGTCGCATGAGTGACACAATAAAAAACCATGTTGAAAGGGCATAGGTTTGGCCACATACACCCTCTTAAGAAATAAGTAAATATAGACAATTGAGCTATTAGCATATATTTTGCAATTAAAACTAGTTAGAGAAAAATGCATGTCATTTCATTTATAGAATACAAAGTAACACAGGCTCAGCAGTTGATGCCAAACAATTGTATAGCTGTACAATTTTATATCAGTGGTGGCATCTATATTGGCAAACCAAGAATGCAGAGATCACAATAAAACAGGGAACACACAGGTAACTTTAGAGGAAAAAGGTAAACAAATGAACATAGACTGAGCAAAGTTCTACTGAAGTGTTTATCAAAAACATAAAGCAAACCCAAAATTATGCTTAACTTATTTGGGAACTCTTAACAACTTCAATGAAAAAACTAACAAGAACAAGATAGGCAAACAAGGGCACACACTGGGGAAGTGGATCTGTATCCAGCACAGGTCCCACAGATGCACCCCCCAGAAAAGATCACGAACAAAGCAACAGAATGAGAACTATTATCATACACAGAAATGAAAGCATGAGAACATTACCAAGAACACTAAAGATAGCACATTCACAAGAATACAGAGGATTTAAATTCTAAAGAGACACAGATTACTTGAAAAATAAAACAGCATTGATCAAAAAAACTGGATAAGATATAGTAACAGCTACTACCATTAACCAGAACAGGTAATTTGGAAGGTAAAGAGTATACCTTTGTAATTTGGTGCCTCTTCTTAGCCAACTTCTCTTGCTTGGCCTTGACACGCTGGGCCTCAGCCAAAAGGGCCATTCTCCTAGCAGTCTTGGCGTGTGGGTTGAGCTTGAGTAGCACATTAAGGTTCTTCAGAGGATTCTTTTTCAATGTAGCTCTCTTCACCTCCTTCTTGATGGGCCTGACAACTGATTGCACCTCATCGGAGTTGATGATTCTAGCCAGGTCAGCATTCACCATCTTCGGCCTTGGCAGAACATATCCCTTCTTCTTCTCGGAAGGCTTATCGAACGAACCATAAACCTCATCCAGCTTCTCAAATGCCGACTTAGTCCATATAATGAACCGCCCGAGATGGCCTCCGGGAGCAAGCTTAAGGAGGTTCAAGCGGTCCACGTGGCAAATCTCAACACCGGGGATGTTTCGGAATGCCTTCACCAGCTTAGCCCCATCAGTTCCGTACACAATCAGCGGACCTTTGCGGGAAATGTAGCGGCGATTCCTCATCTTACCTTTACCAGGGCGAATGGCGTGGCTGTCCTTAGCCTTCTCAGCATCGGGGTAAGCTCCAATTTGCTTAAGCGCCTTGATGGCATTGGATGTCTTCTCGATTCCCTCGGCGGAATCGGAGACCACGAGAGGAATCTCCGGCACCGACTCAATACGGTGGCCGCGAGCGAGCACCAGAGACGGGATAGCGGAGGCGGCGATAGCAGAGGCCACGGCGTAGCGCTTCTGATTCACCGGGATCTTACGGTGCCAGCGGCGCCAGATCTTCGTCGGAGCAAACATCCGGCCGCCACGGCACATGTTACCGAAAGCACCCTGGCCAGCTCGGTGAGTACCGCCGCCGGGGACACGAGGGATACGGGAAACAGCACGGCCGGTACCCCAGGACTCAGCGGAAGTCTGATGCCCGGCGCGCTTCGACACGGCGTAGGGCTGACGTGAGTTCCTCGATATGTTGGCGTGGACGAAAGTGACGACGTCAGGTCGGATCGGAGCTTTCATAACACCCGGGAGAGGGAGGGAGTTGGCGGCGGAGCTCCCATCGGTTACCATATCATTTTCAAAGGTCTGAACAGAGACAAGAGGTCGCGCGGCGGCTGTAGCCATTGGTGATGGGGGGAGGGGGGAAGGGGGAAGGGGAAAAGGGTATACAGAGTGAAGCTCTCAGCTATGAAGATCGCTAGGGTTTTTGGAGAATATATGATCAAGGGGAAGCCTCGCCAAGTATATGGTTTGTGGGCTTTGAAATTCATTAGTTCTTTACCCATTGAGCCATGATTTCATAATAATATCCATTATACAAGCCCAAACCCACTCCTATTTTCCGTAAGTTTCTTATATAATACCCTCCTCCGAGTATTCAGACGTTATGCCATGGAACCGTGATCACCATTCATGGTGAACACGGTTCCAACGGTGTTAGTGCGCCGTTATCATTTTTTTTTTCTTTTTTTAATTAATTACGTGACTGCCTACACATTCACTTTGAAACCATGCCTACACATTCACTTTGGAACCATGAGATTATGAATTTTCTGTTATGAGATTATGAATTTTCTGTTATGCGATTATGAATTTTCTGTTATGAGATTATGAATTTTCATTACATTCATAATTTCGGAGTTTCGGACATTCATAAATTATGAATTCATGCATGCACATTCACTTTGGAACCATGCCTACATATTCCCGTCCGAAATCACGGACATTCATAAATTATGAATCCATGCCTGCACATTCACTTTGGAACCATGCCTACACATTCACTTTGGAACCATGAGATTATGAATTTTCTGTTATAAGATTATGAATTTTCTGTTATGAGATTATGAATTTTCAGTTGTGAGATTATGAATTTTCTGTTATGCGATTATGAATTTTCTGTTATGAGATTATGAATTTTCATAAAATTCATAATCTCATAACAGAAAATTCATAATTTGATCAGTAACGCGCCGTTAATTCCACATCCGCGATTTTTTTTTTTTTTTGCCTAAAAACGACGTCGTTTTGACTTGTGTTCACCATTCTCGGTGAACACGATTCCACGGCATAATTTGCGCCGAGTATTACTGATTTACCAGATATGGCCATCCGAATTTTAAATGACCTCCAATAGTTCTTTATATTTTAAAAAATAATTACACGTAGTCTTAATTTAAAAAAAAAAATCGAGTTTAAAATAACCACAATACGTCCTAAAATGATCACAGATAGTTATTTTTTAAAACATGAAAAATTATTGGATGTCATTTAAAATTCAAATGATCACAACTTGTAAATTGCTAAAACTCAGAGGACCATTAGAGGTATTAACTCTATTCTTATTTTAAAACTATTTATACTTTGTACTGAGATTGAAGTAGACCAATAATGGACTAAAGAGGCAAATTATATTATCCACCATGGTTCACATTGTCATGTGAATCTCAAATAAATAGTTATTTTTAGAGTTTTTTTTTTCAAAATAGTCTCTCGACTATTGCTCATTCTCAATTTTGCATTTCGACTTTCAATTGCACCAAAATGCAAAATTGAGAATGAACAATAGTCAAGGGACCATTTTGGGAAAATACTCTTATTTTTAATATACTTCGTATTAAATATTCATTTTTAATGTATCAAAAGTTTATTTTTTAGTGGTATAATTAAAATAACATTCAATACACATAAAATGAACATTCAATATATTAAAAATGAACATTCATTATAATAAGGTGGACCATGATCAATTGGATTAAATGGTTTTGAATTTTTTTTATTTTTATTTTTTGAGATCAAACTCTTTGAGCGCAGCAAATTATATCAAGCATCACAGATCAACATTGTATCATGTAGCCTGATATAGGTTCATTATTAGTATATTGGAAGTTTATATTTAGTACTAGTTTTTTACGCGCGTTGCGCAATTGGGATAATGTTTAATATTTTTTTTTTAAATAAGTACTTTAAAGTATATCAATGCAAGATTATATTGGAGTTATTTGAATGTTAAATTTGCGTATTTAAATAGGCAATTCTAAATTTACAAATGCAAGATAATATATTCAAGATTGATTATAATTATCAATAAAATAATTGTATAGGTATGGTTGAAACCAAATACGGGACATAAGGGGGAGCAAATAAAAATTAGGACTTAAAATATTAAATATATACTAATATTGAAGAGCTGACTGCTGATTGTCAAACAAGAACATTGCGAGATAGTTTCCCACTTCAATTTATTGTGTGATTTGAATACTCTTTTTGTCAATAAATCCCCCAAGTAGTTAATATGATTGGCTTAATTATATTTTTTTATTTTTTTATTTTTCTAAAACAATTATTATTATTATTATTATTATTATTATTATTATTATTATTATTATTATTATTATTATTATTATTATTATTATTATTATTATTATTATTATTATTATTATTATTATCGTCATCATCATCATCATCATCATCATCATCATCATCACGATCATCACGTATACCCTTAGGTCATTTTACATGTTAATCTAAACAGCTAATTTTTTCAAATATCTTTTTACCAACCGTTGATGTAATTCACTGGTAAATTCGCTAATATAATCCGCTAACTGCTGATTGTCAAACAAGGACATTGCGAGGTAATTCTCACTTCAATTTGTTGTGTGATTTGAATACTCTTTTTGTCAACAAATTCCTCAAGTAGTTAATATGATTGGCTTTATTAATTATATATTTTTTTTAATTTTTTCATGGTATTAATAAAATACTTGGTAAATAAATATATAACATTATTTTGTATTATAACTTTGATATTTAATTAAAAATAGTGTACAAAAAAAAGATAATAGACAATATAGTGAATATAATCAATTGATGAATTTGAATGTAAAGAATTTTTACATTGGAGAAATATAAAGACAATATAACTAATAAAATTATTTCTCTTAATTAATTTATTGATAATGAATAATTTTTTTTAATAAAGACATTGTAGGGACAATGTAGCAAATATAATCAATTGATGAATTTGAATGTAAAGAATTTTTATATTGGAGAAAAATAAATACAATATAACTAATGAAATTATTTCTCTTATTTAATTTATTGATAATGAGTAATTTTTTTTGAATAAAGACATTGTAGACACATAATTCTAAATTAAAGAAATGCATATGTATTATTTTTTGTTGTAGCTACTAAATTATTATTTTATTTAATTTAATAAGAATAAAATAGAGTACTAATTATGTCAACTTCGATTGGGATGAGGTTCGAACCTAAGACCTTTCTTATTGAAATCAATGAGTAAGTTAACGGTGAACTAACGGAAATTAACATAAAAGATAATATTTAACGGAAAAGTTAACGAAAAATCATAATCATTAAGGATAAATTAGTAAATCTTAAGGAAAAATTAAAATCTAATCAATCTGAGCCATTCATTTGATTAAATAATTTGACCGCCATTTTTTCTACCCATTATAGGCCTAACTCTCTTGGGCTCTTATTAGTATACTAGTTTTGTACGCGCATTGCGCGATTGGGATAATGCCCAATATTTTTTTTTTTAAATAAGTACTTTAAAGTATATTAAGGCAAGATTATATTGAAATTGTTCATGCATAGATAATTGAAGGTTGAATTTGCGTATTTAAATAGGTAATTCTTCTCTCAAAGGTTGAGTCCCCAACCCCAAGGGCCCCCACACTCCGACCCGACAGAGCATTGGTTCAGCAGACAGGACCAAATGCCGGTGCGAACAAGGAATCTGCCCACTTTGGACATAATTCCCGCACTGCCGCCGCCGAGGTTCAAACCTTGGTCTCTTAGCTTCTCCCAAATACTGCCCACTAAACCATTGAGCTAAGCCCGTGCGGGTTAAATACGTAATTCTAAGTTTACAAATGCAAGATAATATAGTCAAGATTGATTATAATTGTCAATAAAATAATTGTATAGGTATGGTTGAAACCAAATACGAGACATAAGGGAGAACAAATAAAAATTAGGGCATAAAATATTAAATATATACTAATATTGTTTGAGGAGATTTCGACATTAGGATTTGTGGTTAAGTTCTATTAAGACTTTAATATTCATTTGATTTAATAATCTGTATTCATTTGATTTAATAATTTGGCGGTCATTTTTTCTACCAAATGTTAATAATTAAATAAATTCGTTGGTTAAATCCGCTAATATAATCCGCTAACTGCTGATTGTCAAACAACGACATTGCAAGGTAGTTCTCACTTCAATTTGTTGTGTGATTTGAATACTCTCTTTGTCACAAAATCTCTCAAGTAGTTAATATGGTTGGCTTTATTAATTATATTTTTTTTAATTTTTTCATGGTATTAATAAAATACTTGGTAAATAAATATATAGCATTATTTTGTATTATAACTTTGATACTTAATTAGAAAAATAGTGCACAAAAAGATAATAGACAATGTAGTGAATATAATCAATTGATGAATTTGAATGTAAAAATTTTTACATTTGAGAAAAATAAAGACAATATAACTAATGAAAATATTTCTCTTAATTAATTTATTGATAATGAATAATTTTTTTCACTGAATTAAAACATTGTAAGGACAATGTAGCGAATATAATCAATTAATAAATTTTAATATAAAGAATTTTTATATTGTAGAAAAATAAAGACAATATAACTAATACAATTATTTCTCTTATTTAATTTATTGATAATGAATAATTTTTTTTGAATAAAGGCAATGTGGACACAAAATTCTAAATTAAAGAAATGCATATCTATAATTTTTTGTTGTAGCTACAAAATTATTATTTATATAATTTAATAAGAGTAAAATAGAGTACTAATTATGCTAACTTTGATTGGGATGAGGTTCGAACCTAAGACCTTTTTTTTTATTGAAATCAATGAGTAAGTTAACGGTGAACTAACGGAAATTCTTAAAATTTTAACGGAATTAGTAACGGTGTGTGGGTATTTTAGAAAATTTTAGAGTAAAATTTAAATCTTATCAATCTTTTAATCAATCTAAGCCATTCATTTGATTAAAATCTATGACCGCCATTTTTTCTACCCATTATAGGCCTAACTCTCTTGGGCTCTTATTAGTATAGTAGATAGTAGATATATATATATATATATATATATATATATATATATATATATATATATATATATATATATATATATATATATATATATATATATATAGGCTTCGAAT